GTTTGAAAATTGTCTTATTTCATATGTACTGAAAAAAACGTAAATAATGTTGTTTCAATTCACGAAAAGTGACATTTATCACAGCAGAAATTACATTTGTCCTTTATTAAGAAGGCACTCTGAAATAACGCACGTGCAGGCCAGGATTACCCACATGCAGCCAACAACTGGAAGTTCCACCTGTGAAGATGGAAATAATTTTTTGTTAAGACACGGCTTTTGATTTGATAATGCCAACGTCTTGAAGCAATGAAAATCTTCAGTGAGGCGACCAATTAAATTTTTCATTTTCAAAAATTTTGTAGTATACGCATGTTTTACGTTTGCTTTTCGCCTGCTTTTAGTGGATCCAGACCCCGGGCCCCGGGATCTTGACAGCTGTAATCTGATATTACTGTTGAAAGTAATTTGCATACTGAGTCACAAAACGTTCGCATGGGCGCTTTATCCTTCAGATTGGCGCTTCCTTCTGCGGTGTCCAGCAGCATTTTGAGACAAAGTTGTTGACAGATAAGGAAGAGAGGGTTTACGACATGTTTACTGAGCGAACTTCGTTAGAAAGCATGCGTGTTGGTTATGAGTCTCAAACAGAGTTTAATATAGAATGGCAAACTTGAACAGATGGCAACGGGAAACACTTTGCCTTAAAACTAGACCTGAAACAAAGAATAGGGTAAGCGCTTTAACATTTAGAACTTTGTGCGTGAATAATTACCAAGACTTTTTAAGACAGACGTTTCATGACCTTTGCCTGGTCGACTGACGATGGTCACGCATCATGTTAAAGATGGCGTTACTTTATATTGTCTGTAAAACGATTTTCAAATAATTTCTAAGAAGCTCAAAATGATTTCCCCAAAATAATTTTTACATAACATTAACGTGTGATGCCTGTAGTGTATTTCCCTTCAATATGAAAAAATTCTGATCAAAGGCACATGATGAAAATCGTCGCTGTTTTCAACGACCTTTCGTGGGTAAACATCAGGTAGTCGTACGTTTTAGCTTTTTTATAATTACTCAGACTGTTGTAATGCTAAAAATATTAGATATTTTGGTCAACGACGAGTTAAACTTAAAATTTTAGTAATAAGTTTTTTTCCTAGCGCGGTTGTATTGGAACGCGAGTCCAGCGAATCATGATGAATTTCAACCCTGTTTTTAGCTTGCGAAATCGACGGCGGGGCTTGAAACAGTTTTCTTCGTTTTTCTCGGAAACGAACAGATCTTTCGAAGAAAAAACTACGTTTGTATACTTACTAAAGTCTACAAGTCTGCAAAAGAAGAGCGATTTTGATTTTTTGAGCCTTGCCACGAATCGGCGATTTTGGTCGATTTTTGCATGGATTCGCTCTTAATTACCACGCGAAATATTTTTCTTATCCCTGATGATGTTGCTCGGAATTTAATTATTATTTTTCATTTCAGCAGTCAAAGGCCTCATTCGAACTATATTTTTCTTTCTAACGTTTATAGTTTTGATACAGTGGAATTTTCCATGAAACATAATTACTAACTTGCTCATATTTACTAACAAAGCTTCAAGCCATGTTGTTATTGTTTGATAAAAGTAAAAGCCTAGAATGTGCCAAAGTTGTTGTTTTGAAGTTGGGTGCCATCCTTTTCTATATAGCGGAATCCATTTAAACCTCTAAAATTATGAAGCAAATATCGCGAAGATCTGAACAGGCACATTCCACAAAAGATAAACGAATTCGCCTCGTTGGCACTTGCCGGAAGGTTACCCCTAGTTTATCCGAGATCGATTACCTGTACCCTTCGATTTTTTTTGTCAATGGTAATAAAGTTTTAGATTTTTGCCTCTTTCAAACAAATATAAATAACTAAATACACTAGTTTTGTAGAAGTCACAATAGAAATTGACCTGGGAAGCAAAAATTAGGCGGGTAGAAACAAAGTATTCGCCGGGTACCGAGGAGGCTAAATTTTTACTGTGTAGACCGAATTAAACCACTGGGTAGGAGTTTCACGGGGTAGGGTTTCACTGGGTCTGTTACAGAAGGATGTAATCTACTTTTTTATGTTAATCAAAACCTCTTGTTGTGAATGAAAAACAAAGAAATAGTCACATTTTCAAGCACAAGAATAAATTAGTTCATCAATCAAAATGTGTCATTCTTGAAGGAAATTCCCGCAAGGAAAATCAAAACAACAATAACCAACTTTACAGCTAACTGTGCAAAGTATTGGCAACTTGAATAACTAGAATTAGGAAGTACCGTTCGTACTGACCGTGAGAGTAATACGAACGCAATTCCTAGTATGGCGACTTGAATTAACTTGATCACCAACGTGGGTGAACCTATAAGGTGGAAGTAAAGTATTAGAAAACCAATGAAAACTTGTCAACCAAACCCACGAGGCTCTACCTTAAACTAAAACAGGAACTGTGATGTAGGGAAAAACCAAGGTCAAATATAATCGCAAATCTTCAAAACAACCTAGAAAATACTTCACAACAAAATGTTTTAATGCAAACTCGTCAGCCTGATTATTTTCAACGAAAAAACTCACCTTCTCTCGATCTTGACAACTCTAATTAAATAAAATAGAACTGAAAAAGCCTTCAACTTGACCATTGACTACCATTCTGAGAAGAAACTATTAAAGCTCTTGTTACTTAACTATCGATACTGCAGCAAGAACAGCGCGGCGAGATAAATTAAACGTATCATGAGTTTCCTGGCTGACTCACTATGGACAAACCTTTCGTTATAAATAAGATTAATCCTGTTCATGATTATACCTTTCAGTTTTTTCTGACACTGGAATTAGACAGTAAAATTCAAGAGCGTAACTGAAAAGGATACCCCTCATACACAAAAACTTATCTCGCGCGACAGGCAATGGAAAAACGCGCGAAATACGAAGACCGGAACTCAATTTCCACTTGCATAGTAACCGGTAGTCTGCTACACAGCCGTTTTTAGAGTCGTCACGCAACCCTCCTCCCTCTTGTGGGGAGGAGCGTTGCGTGACGACACTAAAAACGGCTGTGTAGCAGACTAAGTAACCGGGTCACCTGGCAATGAGATACGATCATGGGCCTTAAGTGATGCATTCCAATAAAAATGCTGATCGTCAGTTGAATCAAATATTTCACCCACATGCCATCAAGCACAACTTATGTTCCTCAGTAAACTGTCTTCATCTTATATATTCTTACAACCTCTAACAGTATTGATTTTACTTGAATCAGAGATGGTAAACGGCTTCCTCTTTCATGACTCCATAGACCATCGAGTGATCACTTATACCAGTAATAATAATAATAACTGTTTATTCACAAAGGAAAAGGAGATGGAGAGGTTAACCCTGTCTAGTACAGCTCCACAAACAAAACAAAAAAAATAAAAGTACAAGAACAATAACAATGAATATGCATATGAATTAAATAAAATAAAAATAATCTATGTACATTCTGTATAAAATGCAAAAATATTTTACCGCTGGACATGTCTAGATAATTTAACATTCGACTGAAACACTGGTAAAATAACGTCTGTGTTTACTCTTAAAAAGGTTCAAGTTCTCCGCTTTAGCGATTTCTTTAGGTAAATCATTCCATTCATCAATTATGCGAACAAAAAAAAAAATGTTTAAAACTATTTAACGTTGCAGACACAGACTTAAGTTTAAAACAATGGTTAGCCCTTAAAGGTCGAAAGTCACGTGAAAACGTAAAAAATTTTGAAGGATCTAGTCCATTCAGACTGTTTATTGTCTTATAACAGTCAGTGAGCGAGGAGAATAATCTTTGTTGAAGCGTTGGCCATTTTTTTTGACCATAAGGCGTTCTTTGTTGGACAAGTCACGCCCAAAGCTTTCAAGGGCACATTTGGATGCTCTACGTTGCACTTTCTCCAACATGGTTAGCAAGGGTGGCGCAGTGGTGAGAGCACTCGCCTCCCACCAATGTGGCCCGGGTGCGAATCCTGGCGTCGACGCCATGTGTGGGTTGAGTTTGTTGTTGGTTCTCTCCCTTGCTCCGAGAGGTTTTTCTCCGGGTACTCTGGTTTTCCCCTCTCCTTAAAAAAAAAACCAACACTTTCAAATTCCAATTCGACCTGGAACGCGCGGACGCGTCTCAACGAATTCTTATGAACTCCTTAGTGATCCGTGGGTAAACAAATTACAAAAAAAAAATTACAATGTTTAAGTCCCTCTTAATTAGGTGCAGCTCAGTCTGTTCGTCATTAAAACATGCACCAGCATTTGGCTGGTTGTGGTCACTGTTGATGGTGTTCTGATAAGATTTTCTAAGTTGTGTATCCGCTCAAGATCACATAGGACCTTTCCTCCTTTTCCCTCTTTTTTAAACCTGTCCCTGTGTAAGTCGCCAGTGATCACGACAAATTGCCCCTTTAAGGATGCTCAAAAAGTAATTCTCCAGTACCGTTTGTTTACGTAGGTCGATATAGCCCCAAAACGACGACTTCGTGTCATTCACGAACTTTGATTCCAAACATAATGCCTCAAAGATTGTGGATTTTTGGGGCAAGTTCAGGCTCTTTGATGGGAGACTTGAAGAGAAGTCTACCATCAGCTCACCTCCTCTTTTCACCCTATCCTTCCCTTTCGATAAATACTCTAGCCACTCCTTAAACTGTTGGCTTGGTTACAAAGAATCAGATGTTTCCGACAATAAAGCTAAGACACATAGCTCTTTGGCCTGAGAAAACAGCCGACATTGCGACGCTACTACCGGTTTCCTCGCGAAATGGCGTCTGACAAAAGAGTGCAGAAATTCCATACTGACGACGCGTCACCACTCAGATCTGGGTAAAACTTCTGATTAGTCGTGCCTCGTGGGAAATTTGCTTCAACCAATCAGAGGCACTACCCAGATTTGGGTAGTGGACGCGTCATCGGTATGGAGTTTCTGCGCTCGTTTGTCACAAGGCTTTTTTTGGGAAAACTAGTGGTGGCGTGGCCAAATTTCGGCTGTTTTCCCAGGCTAATAAGCTTTTAAACTTTGTAGGTACATAATGGTGAAGGAACACAATTGCCTTGTGGATATCACTAACAAGACGCAATTTTCTATGTCGTATATGGAAGAATGGTACGACAGCGGACGACTCGCGGATGGTTTCAGGTGGCCGAAAACAATTAACGCCGGCGAGCATCAAAAGGTCCTCAACTACGAAAGAGACTGGTCAATGGCAGGATGTTCAGGGTACGTTACCTATAAGATGAATAACACCAACGTCACTATTGCTTTCTCCAATCCATCTGTAGGAGTCAACAAGCTTGGAGTGGGGACTGGTGGAATGAAGGTGTGGGATGACATGGACAACCATCGTTACCAAAGTTTTACCGAAAAAATAAATTGCCCTGATGGAGTTATTTTATCATGCAACTGCGAGTGCACCGGCGGAAACACCAACACTTGTAGTGTCTACCTGGCAGAAATGAATTAAGAAGCAACTGCATATAACAACAGAATGCGAGCAGTCTATTGACGAATGCGAGAATGGAACTTCCCACCGAAGAATTGTAACAGGAACTTCAATTGATCATTTCAAACCTGGCGTTATATGATTTTGTAGATAGATTTTATTAGGTACAGTTTTTTCAGTAAATAGTTGCGATGCTTTTTCATAATTTTTACCAACTTAATAAGGATTAGCTGTGAATGTGAATCCTATAATTAATTTTTCCACCATTTTTTTTTCCATTGCTCATTAGTTTTCAGTTTTATTCTCTCTGATCAGTTTGCAGTACTGTGAGTGGTTAAAGTGATGCTGTTGTGGTACGTGTGCAAACTTCTAAGCAATAAAAATTAAACTGTGCATTCAGCTACCTTGAAATTTCATGATAATGCCTCACATTTTCCGAAGAACTAAAAACACTGAGAAAGCATGAGGGTTGTCCAATACACACAAATAAACTCCATTGGTGTGAGTGGAGTAATTTTCTTTGGGAGGAAAGAGATATTAGAGAGCTTTTATAGATTCGAGGACGAGGAGTACCACGAGGAGGACATTTAATTTTACGTTTTCTCGCGTATTCTCTAAAAATAGACACCCCCGAAAGCATTGTGCTCAGTTTTTTTTTCACCACAAAAAGTTAGCACGCTTATTTCCGTTGAAGCGTTAAAGCCCTCTCATCGGTCGCTAAATGATAAAATTCCTAACATTTGATAACTTGTTTTCGCCACTACGACATTCTCGCTAAAACTCAGGCCCGGCCAGGGGGCGGCGGGGGGGGGGGGGGGGGGGGGGGGGG